TACAATAGCCACCAGACAAGCTCGAAATCAATGCGTCTCAGAACAAATAAACAAATGAAGGCTGCAGCAACCACACTCTTATGCTGCTGCCCCCCAAAACATAGACCGCAGCCAGAGGCCCCCAGGAACGCAGTGTATGCACACCGTCTTGCTGCGGGGCCTCAGGGAGAATAACAAAAAAAAAACAAAAAAAAAGAGACAATATCTCCTGTTTTACAGTCAAAAAAGAGGAATTTGCTGCCAAGAATGGCGAAACATGCAACGATTACTGCTGCTGCAGCAGCAGCAGCAGCAGCAGCAGCAGCAGCAGCAGCAGCAGCCGCAGCGGTGGCCCGCCGGCTGGTGGGCTCCGTTCGTTGCTGCTGCTGCAACACCAGCAGCAGCAGCAACAGCAGCAGCAGCAGCAGCACCTTCGCCTTCTTTTTTTAAAAGTTGTTTATTTAATTCAATTTAAAAAAGCATAACCCCAATACAATTTATTTCTCGCCGTAAACTACACCTCACACCGCCGCCTGCCTGAGGTGTACGTACACCAGGCCGGGCCAGTCCATTGCCCCCCCCCCCCCCNCCCCCCCCCCCCCCCCCCCCAGGAGTTGCTGTTATTTAGCGGCTTCTTTCTCTATTTTAGAGAAAAAAAGAAAGTTCAATAAAATAGATTCAGAAAACAATAGATGAGGCAGGTCGCGGTGTACGTACACCCCAAACCCAACCAGAGAACCGCCGCACCTCTGCTCCCCAGTGTAGCGGCAGCTCTCCCTCTGCCTTGGCTGAGACCTCTGTTAGCTGCTAGAGACCCGAAACGCCTGAAATATAAATTCTAAGAAAACTGCTTCAACCTCCCCTCCAGTTTTTCAGCGTCTTCTGCACAGCAGCTGGAGCTCTGGCTGCTGGTGGTGGTTGGTGCGTTTGCTTCTATGTGCGCCGACGGCCACGGCAGTGTCTACGCTGTCTCTACATTGTTCGTGCATGCAACATGCAGAGAGTTATGTTGCATGGTATGTGTGAAGTGGGGGCCATATGCATCTCTATGTGCGAGGAGGTTCTCTATCGAGGGCGAGGGAAGTGCTTGACAACTGCATAGAGGGCCAGTGCATACGGCTGGGGTGGCCTGGTTGGGTTTACATGTGGGGTTTTTTTGCAGCAGGTGTTGTAGGCAGCTGCGCTGCTATTCATCTCGGGTAGCCCTTCCTCGCACCATCCCCAGGCCCTCGAGCCGCTGTCTCCAGGGGATATCTTATGAAGGTGTAGGGGGTCACCTGTAACAGACGGTGGCCGAATACAGTGTCTACGTCGCTCTCTTGGTCACAGTTTCAGCGGATCCACAGAAAATTTACCGAAAAAAAGTCAAGTTTCTGTTAGTTTCAGGGAAAGTACTCAGATTACGGAACTTCCAATGAGGGGAAGTTCCACCGAAATAGCTCCCCATTTAGTATCTGCTTCCCTCGCCAGCTGCGAGCAGGCCAGCCAATCTGGGACCAGGTGCGATGGTCGGAATGC